AGCTGAACCCTGAACCTTGAACCCTAACCCGTGCTATTTCACCCCAAAGGCCGCAAATCTTTCGGGGCCTTGGTGGCTTCAGGATGTAAGGCTTAGGGCTAGTATCTAAGGTTGAAACCATGGGCCCTTAGTTTGGGCCCTTAACCCTGGGATCCTTATACACCTAAACCCCTCAACCCCTAAACCCCTAAACCCTACACCCTAAACCCCTATACCCTTTTTGTACCCTTAGGGAACCTGGAATGGCCTAAGGGTCCATATTAGGTGCCCATACTTCTAGCCTTAGATGGTAGGGTCTGGGGTCTAGGGTCTAGGGTGCAGGGTTTAGGGTTTAAGGCTTAGGGTTTGGGGTCCAGGGTGTAGGGCTTAAGGTCTAGCGTTTAGGGTTTAGGGTCTAGGGCCTAGGGTTTAGGGTTTATGGTTTTAGGGTCTAGGGTTTTGGGTTCAAGGGGCTTAGGGTTCAGGGGTTTAGGGTTTAGGGATGAGGGTTTAGGGCTTAGTTCAAGGCTTTAGGGATGAATCTTTGGGGGTTTGGGGTTCAGGGGGAATTCCGTGAGTTTGTAGTGGTTCTGAGTTGACGTCCTAGTTGAAGGTTGGAAGCTTTCGGGTTCTGGGTTCTAGGGTTTCAGAGCTTTGGGTTGAGGGTTTAGGGTTTAGGGTTTAGGGTTTAGGGTTTAGGGTTTAGGGTTTAGGGTTTAGGGGTTTAGGGTTTAGGGTTTAGGGTCTTGAAATGCTTCACGATTGAAGGGCGATGCTGATGTAAGCGCCTCAGGATGCAAGGGCCGCAACAAAGGCTAGCATACTCCAGGGGCCGTAACAGTTAGAATAGGGTTCTGGGGCCCCTTATACTACACTTATAATAGGGTTTTGGGGCCATTATACTATACCTACAATCAGGAACTACTCTTGTGGTAAATATATTTAGGCCCCTACATTTCTTCCTGTGTTGGCATGGTACAGGCATGTCAGTCCAGCAGCACATTTCGAAGAACTCTCCACTTTGTTGCAGGTGTGTTGCGAACCCTCAATGGAACCTGAAGGGTTTAGGGTTTAGGGTTTGGGGTTTGGGCTTGCCCTAAGTCGTAAACCCTATCAGCTGCCAAAGCATGGCCCTAACCACCCCTGCATGCCTGGGTTGGAATGCAATGCAGCAGACGTGGGTTTAGACCCTAAACCCTAAACCCCAAACCCCCCTAAACCCTAAACTGAGTTTATGCGCTTTGGGTCCCATGATTTCTGTTGGGGCTGTAAGAAAATCTTGCTACTATCCTTTTGTGCCGACCCTCCATCCGCCAAGGCTTTTCCCACATGCCGGGGCTTTGAGGATTCAGGGTTTAGGGTTTAGGGTTATGAACTATAGTATAATACACACACAAACCCTATTCTAAAATTACAAATGCCCCTGAACAAGCGGGCGGCCGCACCCTTGGACAAACGTCACCGGCGGATAGGACCCTTGTTGCCCAAGCCCCCGTGCGTAGCCAGGAAGCCCAAAAAGCTACTTTCGGAGATCTCTACAGAGGAAACCAAGACCTCCAAAAAGGAAGAGACCGAAAATTACCTGAAACTCGACCGCCGAGAGGTCTAGAGCCATAACCTTCAAACTCCACGCCCCCCAACCCTAGGTTTTCGGGACCCTAAACCCTATGTCCTTAAACCTGGTGAACCCTAAAACATCAACCCCTGAAGCGTGTAAGCGCTGCACCCTCCGTTCTACAGAGCCAAACCCTGAACCCTCGCATAAACCCTCAACGATGTAAGAGCCTGTATTGAAACCATCAAGACTCCTATATTCAAGAACCCCTATGGAACCCATGCAGAACAGGAGCCCTGTTAAAAAAGGACTACTCTTCCCTTTCTTACAACCCTCTAATGTAGAAGCTTTACACATTAGAATAGGGTTTGGGGTATATTATACTAGAACTATAATAAGGAACAACAAAATAATATTGGTAACTACTTGGTGCCCGCGCCCTGCGCGGCCACCGGGCGGGAAGCACATGAGGAGTTGATAATGCTGCTTTTGCATTGTAATTTACAGTACGCAAGTGCTTGAGGGAAGACGTGGTTTTAAGGGTGTGGATTTCCAAAACTACTTGGGGACTATTTTGTGGTGTCGGAACAGCAAAGAAGCGGAATGTCAATGATGCAAGCAGCTCTGAGAATGTTTTGGCACTGAAGCTCCCCTTGCTTCTCTATGCCTCCTTGCCACAAAGCTCAGGCATTGTGCTGAGGAATGCGGAGGGCGAACCAGCATCAGACAAATGCTGGCGAAAAACAAACTGCTGAACCAGAAGCACAAGGTAGGAGTTTTCTCTTAGTCAGGAGGGCTCGAAGAGTGTATAAGGGGCATGCGGCAGCAGCAGTACGTAGCAGGAGCATGAAGCATCTGTGACAGCAAGGAGCAGGCGTCATCAAGGCCCCCTCCCCTCCCCCCCCTCCCCAAGCCCGAAACCTGAAAACCTGCAAAAAACCAAGCCCGAAAGCTGAATGAAGACCTGCTCAAAACCCGGGGGCCAGGAGTGACGCCGCTAGCTCAAACGTAGAGGTCCAAGGTGCCAACAAGACAGGAAGCTGCACACAAAGCAAATATAGTCTGGATAGTATTTTATGTATTCGTATCGTGCAGCCCCTGTCTTCTGGATTCTAATTAGTATAGATATGTCAACATGGACGTTATTACCCCCCCCCCTCCCTCCCCCCCCTCTCCATCTGCATGCATCTATGACCACAATTGTAATCATCCCCTCCTACCTAAACACAAGGGAAAAGCTATGGTTTGAGCACAAAACCCTTAGAAACCCGGTGGCCGCACAGGGCGCGGGCTCCAACTACTTAGGCCCCTATACTATTGACCCTGACACATCTGCAAACCTTGGCTAGTGTAGGGGCCTAAATAATTACCAATACTATCTTGGGTGGCTTCTTATTATGATTTTGGTATAATGGGCCCCAAGACCACATTCTAATTATTCAGACCCCTATATTATGTCTGAGCTGCTCGTTGATGTAACCATCGACGGCGGCTTTACCTCTAGGGCCTATATTATGTCTGAGCTGCTCGTTGATGTAACCATCGACGGCGGCTTTACCTCTAGGGGAAGGCTTCAGTCGGCTTGGAGCGATTGAGTTTAGGGCTTAGGGTTTAGGCTTAAGGGTTGCTGGTTTAGGGTTTAGGGTTTCGGGTTGCTGGTTTAGGGCTCAGCGTTAAGATTTGCTCGTTTAGGGTTTAGGGTTTCTGGTTTTGGGCTTAGGGTTTAGGGATTAGGGTGAACCCTAAACCCTAAACCCTAAACCCTAAACCCTGAACCCTAAACCCTAAACCCTGAACCCTAAACCCTAAACCCTGAACCCGGGAAAGCTAGAGAACATAGATTAAGGCCGGCCAGCACTGGGAGTCCCCATACTTCCGTGTAAGTGCTTGGGGGTAATGATGTTCCAACTTTACGGCTTCGACTTCCGAGGATCCTTCACAATTTTCTACCGGATGCTTAGGGTTTAGGGTTTAGGGTTTGGGGTTTAGGGTTTAGGGTTTAGGGTTTAGGGTTTAGGGTTTAGGGTTTAGGGTTTAGGGTTTAGGTTGGTGGTATACTGAACTAATTAAACCAGGACTACGAGGGATACTATCTCAAATTCTTCCGAAGCCGATATTACGCGGACCACGGAACTCTGAATCCCGCAGCCACTTCACGGCCCGGAGCAACTTGCCCTAAACCCTAAACCCTAAACCCTGTCATCCATAGGGTCTAGGGTTTGGGGTTTAGGGTTTATCCTTTTGCTGCTGAGAGGCCCCATAAGAGCAGTAGTGCTTTCTGCCACTCACCCGCCTTGTCCTGGGCTCATGCGGAAACCTTCACAAGCTTTTACGGCATTTGCCCGTGCTGTTTCTGAGGTTCATGCACTGCTAGCAGGATTCCGCAAGGGCTTTACGAGTTGTGGACGTGTGTAGACGACCGTCTGTGCTCATATCTGTCCATAAGAGAACCTGCCCTGTTAGCAATAGAGGCCTTCATTGGGGTCATGTTCTGGCATAATTATGTGCATGTGTAAAGCCTCTATCTATATATATATATATATATATATATAATATATATATATATATATATTATATGGAAATAGTCTTAGCAGTTTCCCGACCCCTATATTACGTGAAGCCCTCATTCCTGTTCTCGCGTTTGAGAAGGAAAAGGACGGAAGTCTTGACCGATGGAAGGGACACCCTAAACCCTAAACCCTAAACCCTAAACCCTAAACCCTAAACCCTAAACCCTAAACCCTAAACCCTAAACCCTAAACCTAAACCCTAAACCCGGCGAGAAAAAGAAAGAAAAGCAGTCAAGGCGTGAGAGCATGAACAAAAAAAGATAGCAACGAAGAACATGCTATGTTTACGTGCTCCTAAAGGAACAGAATATAGGGTCGGAAAAATGAGTAATGGTATGCCCCAGTCGTCCCTGTATGACCTTACTACGCTTTGCACCAAAACTCCATTCTAACTCTTAACCCACCTATATTCGGCCCTTCTCTTTCATTATCCCTTATAGCTACCCTTGCAGACCCCTTTAAAGGAACCCTTAAAGGAACCCCTAGACCAACTAGTAGGGCCCCTATACTACTCAGAATGATCTAACGATGACGGACTTCTGACAGGGCTTTCGGACCGAGAAGGACAAAAAGAAATCCGTATCTTTCGGGGCTTCGGGTTGAGGGTCTGGGGGTCTGAGGCTGTGGGGGTTCCGGGTTGCGGGCTTAGGATTAAGGGTTGAGGGCTTCGGAGATTAGAGCTTCTAGGGTGTAGAGTTTAGGGCTTTCTTGGCCTTTACTCTAAACCTTGAACCCTGATCCAGCACCCACCGGTGCCCCACTAGCCCTTGCTTTCAGTATGGAGGAATCTCACATACGTCGCAGGACTGAGCCTAAACCCTAAACCCAAAACTACGCCCTCTTCCCAGCTTAAAGTTTTGCTCAATCCGTAAAAGGGTAGTGAGTCCTCAACCCAATTCACCATGCTCTGAGTGCTCAAAAATCTAAACCCTCTTGACTATGGGGTTTAGAGTTTAGGGTTTCGGTTTCGCAGGCATACTGAAAATCCCCCCTATAATTCCCGGTATATTCCTTGATGGAGGGCTTTACCAAATCTCTGGGTGAAATCCCCAAGCCCTAAAACTCAAAAGGTTTAGGGTTCCAACCCAGAATCGCACGCGCTGATGGCAGCGTTGCAGCAGATGGCGCCGCCCTGGACGTTCTGGGCGTCCATCTCCTGGCGAAACGGTTTGGGGTCTAGGGTTTAGGGTTTAGGGGTTTAGGGGTTTAAGGTTTAGGGTTTAGGGTTGAGGGTTTAGGGTTTGGGGTCCATCTCCTGGCGAAACGGTTTGGGGTCTAGGGAACAAGCCACTGCAAAGGAAGACCGGGTGTTTAATCAATCAGGGTTTTAGTGCTGGATTCAGGGCTAATTAAGGGCTTGACATCTACGACATCAGTAGCCTTACTGGTGTAATTATATTGGATCCCAAACCCTAAACCCTAAACCTTAGACCATAAACCTTAAACCCTAAACCCTAAACCCCAATGGATCCTACTGTGGGAGACGGGTTAGGCTCAATGGCTCCTAGATTCGGGTCTAGGATTCAAGCTCTTGGGCTTGGGATGATGCTGATCCCCTGAACCCTAAACCATAATGAGCCACGGTGCCCGGAGAAGGTTTAGGGCTTAGGGTATAGGCTTTAGTAGGATCCCTAATATGATGTAAAAGTACATTCCTTAATTAGGGGATATTGGAGTCTCTGGGTGGTGGTCGTCCAAAAAGGACTTCTGGGGTTGGGTTTTAGGTTCAAAAGTTGAAGGTTGTCTGCAGACTAGGTCGAGTATTAGAACGGAGTTTATCAAGGTACCTATAAGCCTACTTTTGACGACCCATGAACCTTCTTCTTACCCAGCATGCTGAATCTACACTTCGAAGTCTTAACGTCATCCTCCACCTAACAAACACTTCAGATACCCCAAGAAATGCAGAGCCCCGAGCCCGATATCGGGCCCTAGCACCAACTACAGGGTTTAGGGTTTAGGGACCCTGCATACCTGGAACAGGCTTTTCCCCACATTTTGCTGTGATTTTTGCGGAGCTTTAAGGGGATCATATGGGGTTTCCGAAAATAGGGGACCCTAATATAGTACCCTAAAGAGTAGGATCCTTATTATAAGGACCCCAAGATAAGTACCCCTCATTTTCGGAAACTCCCATATGACTGAGTATTCCGATCCCCCTTCCTCACTGTGGCAAACCTGTGCGACTGAAGGGTGTGGGTTCTTCGCGCCCGCCAACCACCGCACCTTAAACACCGAAACCCCTAAACCCTAAAACCCTAAAACCCTAAAACCCTGAAACCCTAAACCCTAAACCCTAAACCCTAACCTTGAAGCCTAAACACCGAAACCTCGAAACCATTCAACTCCGGGGACCGAACCCAACGCAACTTCGAGGAAGGATTGAAATTTGGGAGTTTCCGAAAATAAGGGGTACCCTATTTGGGGGTCCTTATAATAAGGATCCCACTATTTAGGGTATTACATTAGAGTCCCCTATTTTCGGAAACTCACCTTAAACCCTAAACCCTAGAGGAGGAGCCCCTGCGGCCTCTGCGCGTGTGCGCGGTCGAGCACAAGTGGGTAGTTCTCTAAATTAGGATCCCTTTTTAGGTCCCCATTATAGTACACCCTACTACAAAGGACCCCCGAAAGGGACCGTAATGAAGAGACCTACCCACATGTCGATAAGTTGAAGGTTTGATGCTTCCGGGTTCAAGCTTTCGGGGTCTAGAGGTTAGAGTTTAAGGGTATCAGGGCGCAACTTGTTTCTCACAGTAGAAACATGGGGGCTTCAGGTGCAGAGGGTTCAAAAAAGTTGAAGCTTTGTGTTGGTCTAATCTTGCTTGAAGCTTGGAGTGCGGGGTTTCAAATTCAAGGGTTTGGGTGTTCGGAATACTTGGGCAAACCCTGACCCCTCCGCACGCTCTTTTCATTCCGGGGGGCTGCACAATAGCACCCCAGTAACGGTTTCCAGTTTGGGGCTTGTGCGCTCGGGTTTAGGGTTTGGGGTTTAGGCTTGTCTCGAGTATGTCCAGCGGAAGGGCTGCTGCTGACCTGAAGTGAGCCATGCACGTAGGCTCGCGGCATAGTCCTGAAAGTAGCCCAAGCCCTCAGGCAAGGAGCCCTCTGTCCACGGATCCAAAAGGTCTTCCAGAAATTTCCCAGAAGCCATATCTGCCAACAGCTTCTGGTCCGGACGTGCATGCCCAGCCCGCACCATGCGCTCGATGATAGCACAGCACATCCTGTCAGAATCCTGGCCGAACTCTTTGTCTGGATAGCCGTCGTGGGGAGTCATTTCCGTGAGGACATGGTGGAACAAGGTGATGTCTGGATTACCTGGGTAAGAACTGTTTAAATCAACTCCGCGAGACAAAGCAATGTTCAGTAGTTCCAAACGACCCAGACAAAGGTCACCATTTGCCACCAAGTGGATCAGAGTGGCCACTGGAAAAGCCCTGGCGATCTCACGGCAGCTGCAACCTGCTGGCACCCGATCCGTGTCCCTATTCAGCAGACTTTGGGGACAAGAATGGCAGCAAAGCTCGATCCACTGAAGGCCCTGCAGCAGCATGCTTTGGCGTGCACATGCCAGGCTCTTCGTAAGATCAACGATGACATCCCAGACCAAGTCGGGGCTTTCCTGACCATGCCACCAGGAATCATCGTCAGACAGGAGCAAGTGGCTCAGCTCGGGCAGCGCCGTCAGCGCAAAAGGCAGCCTTCCAGCGATCTCAGGTTCTGGCTGATGACCTTCACCACGTGTGGGATTGCCCCTGACAACAAGTGCACGAACTGTTCTGACCGAGGGGAAAAGACCTAGCAGTTTCACATTGCAGTGGGACGGTGCCGTGATTTTCAGCTGACGAACATCTTGCAGACGCTGGCGCTGCTGCCGACTGCTGCAGGTCGAGATCAGCAGCTCGCCCAGCTCAAGATACGCAAGAATCATCAACTGGAACATCTCGTCCAACTCCAAGAACTGATACATCTTGGGCTTGCGGCCTACCGGGCCTCTTGGAGTTTTAACGGATTCTTACAACTTTTTCGGCTTGCGGATTCCTCTCAGGGCTTTGGGTGTGGGTCTCTCTTGATGAAATATTGGGCTTGGGGTTTAGGGTGCGTTTTTTGTGGCTGTGGCTTTGCATTTAGACTTCATTCTTGGGGTAGCACTCTGCACCCTCAACCCTAGACCGTGAACCCTAAACCCTAAAACCAAAGCCTTAAACTACCGTCGAAGTGGGGCCTTGAGCCATACAAGCATCACGCGAGAGCTCTGCCAGTCCAGACATCTGTCGATCTCCATCGAAGTGAACGGTGTAGAGTTTAGGGTTTATAGGGCTTATAGGGTTTATTAAGGTTTAATGTAGGCTTTTATAGGGTTTATAGGGTCTATAGGCATTGTAGGGCTTATAGGGTTTAAAGGGTTTCGGGTGTAAACGCCAGCCAACGACCCGAAACTCAGAGGCCCATCGACGACAGGCCTGAAGCCCCTCGCCCAAAACCATACTCCCAAACCCATAACCCAGAACCCTAAACCCTAAACCCCAAACCCCTAAACCCTAAACCCCAAACCCCTAAACCCTAAACCCTAAACCGCTAAACCCCAAAACCCTAAACCCTAAACCCTAAACCCCAAACCCCAA